GTGCCGGGGAGTGTATCGGCAATACGCAGCGTAGGCATTCTTTGGGTAGTTCTATTTATTTGCATAATACATGCAAATTGTTTGAACAAAGATAGGCTAAGAATGACCTATTCATCAAAATATCGGCAACCAATGACTGAGACGGACAGTTAATTTTATAACCTATAATTTTCGTGAAAAATTTGATATTATTGGCAATTTGTGTTCTCACAATGGGTTTCATTCTACGAAATGCGCTACTATTTCCTTCCTTTGTCTCCTATTACTCTCCTATAGGGCTGCTTCAATGAGGCCTACTACCCGTTCAGCAAATCCTTCAACAATTATGTTTTGAAGGCGCCGGAGATATGCACAAAATATTACAGAAGAGGACTAAAAATCAGACCGTGCCTGGGGAAGTTAAGAAATATTTCTAGAAAAACGTGACTTTCATTAAGAGATAGGAAGAACTAGTTAGAATTTAGCCAAGTTTGAGGAGAGGGTGCACATCAGAGGCCCAGTGAACTGATGAGCAGAGGCATGGGTTTGGGGACCCGTGCCTAGGCCGGTGTGGCTAAATTAAGGAACTGCCTGCCCATTATAGAAAATGAGAGCAGAAAAATGAGTAAGAATCAGATAAGAATTTTATCCTGAGGCTCATTAAGATAGGCGAGATGACTTCGGTTCTCAAACTTTCAAAATGATTCTCTTGTCAGCTACCACAGCAAAATTTCTTGGAAGAGCTATCCATACTCTCTGTCTCCGATTTCTCTCCTCCCAATCTTTCTTAAACCCAGTCCAGTCAAGCGTACACCCCCACCCTCTTCTCACACTGGGTGTGTCAAGGACATCAGTCTCCTGGCTTGAAATAGCATTTATGTGTTGATGACTCCCAGATGTATTTCTTCATCAGAGACCTCTCTCCCCAACTCCAGACATACACACAACTGTGTACTTGACATCTCCTCTTGGGTATCTAATAGATCATTTCAAATTCAATATGTCCAAAACTGAACATTTGCTCTCCAGCTCTTCAAAATCTGCCCTAGCCATAGCCTTCACCATCTCAGCTGATGGCAATTTAAAATTCCGGTTAAGCCAAAAAACCTGGAATCCTCACTGACTCCTTTATCTCACTCCCTTTCAATCAGACAGGGACTCCTATCTTGAGAAAATATCCAAAATCCAACCTCTTCCCTTCCACTGCTTTCATCTTGATCTGAGCCACCCTTAACTCTCCCCTGGGTTACAGCGGCAGCCTCCTAACTGGTCTTCCTAAGTCTACCCCTACTTCTACAGTCTGCTGCAGCCAGAGTGGGCCTTGTCTCAAAGGAGGCCTCAAAGGACTCCTTTGCTCGAAGTGCTGCAATGCCTTTCTGTTTCTCTGAGAATAAAAGCCAAAGTCCTTACAGTGGCCTACAAGACCCTAATGACTTGGCCACCTGCTATGTCTCTAATTTGATTACTCTGCCTACCTGCATCAAGCATGTCTCATTTTGGCGCCCTTCTCTGCCTTTTCCCTCTGCCCAGTTGGCTCTTCCCCCAGAAACCAGCATGGCTCACTCCATTACCTCCTTGAAGTTTTTGCTTATTGTTAGTCACCTTCTCAAATAGGCCTATCCTGATTACCCATTCAAAATTTTAATCTTCTCTGACCATCCTGGCACCCCGATCCCCTTTAACCTGCTCTACTTTCCTTTTTTTTCATAATACTTGTTATCTTCTAATAGATCATATAAATTTTAAGTTATGTTTACTGTTTTTTTTTAAAGATCTTATTTTTCCTTTTTCTCCCCAAAGCCCCCCTGTACATAGCTGTGTATTTTTAGTTGTGGGTCCTTCTAGTTGTGGCATGTGGGACACTGCCTCAACGTGGCCTGACGAGTGGTGTCATGTCCGCACTCAGGATTTGAACCAGCAAAACCCTGGGCCGCGGACGCGGAGCCGCGAACTTAACCACTCATCCATGGGGCCGGCCCGTGTTTACTGTTTACTGTCTGTCCATGTAAACTTCGCAAAGGCAGGGATCTTTATTCACTCGTGTATTCCAAACACCTAGAATATGGAATGGCACATAGTTGATGCCCAATAAATGATTTTTAAAATATTTTATCAAAGTATAAATTGTGTATATAGGAAAATATATATTTCGATGAATTTTCACAAATTGAGCAGAACATGTAACCAAAAACAGAAGCTTAACTAGCACCCCAGAAGCTGCCCTCCCCCAAGACTAACTACTATCCTGACTTCTAACAACATAGATTAGTTTTACCTGTTTCTATGCTTTGTATAAATGGAATTGTACAGTAATGGTTCTTTTGTATCTGTCTTGGTTTGCTCAACATTATATTAATGGAATTCATCCACATTGTTACATGTAGTTGTAGTTTGTTCATTCTCATCGCTGTACAATAATAGTCCATTGTGTGACTATAACCCAATTTATTTATCTGAAGGAATAAATTATTTAAACCCCAGATCCTGTCTATCCTCCTTGGTGTCACAGGGTTGTTGCGAAGATTAAATGAATTAATTTAAATTAATTAAAGCATTTAGAATGGTATCCAGTATATAGTAGGTGCCCAATAAAGGTTAGCTATTAATTTTGTTATACAGTTTTCAGATATTTTATTCAATTAACAATGATCTTTTACTCATTTGAAGTCCTGTACAGTTATTCTAGCACTCTTTAGGATGCCAACCTGGCTTCATCATTGGGAAGGGCGAACATGTATGGCCTCAGTGGCCTGGTCTGTCTTCAGTACATGAAACAAGCTGGGCCAATTGGATTCTTTCTTTCCAGGGAATCAGGAAATCTGAAATAGTGGCCAGCGACTGGGGCTTGCCAGAGTTAACTCATCTGGACCCCCTGCAATATTTTCACTGAAAGCCCAGTAGCTCTTAGGCTCCTGCCTCGCCTGGGGTAGGCTATTTAACCCTTTCTGCCATCCAGGGATCCTGTATCTCCAATATCTGCCCTCAGTATCCTCCTAATACAAGCCCCTTTTCCCTTAATTAGATAGATTCATTTTCTGTAGCCTGTCCCCAAAAGGACCTCAATGACTCATTTAACTCTTAAATTATCAGGCTTAATAGTGTTGTGACTCCTTTACTCTATTTAATAACACCAGTTCTTTCATCCAACCATCCGTTCATTCAAGTTTTAAACATTATTGAGGGCTTATGATATGTCAGGCACTGCAGGGTGGATGATATTATCCCCATTTTCAGATGAAATACTCAGAGAGGCTGACGGATTTGTTAAGGTCACAAAGCTTATAGTGATGGAGAATGTTGGTTCAAGGTAATCCTCACTCTTAGTCATGGGCCTGGGTGATATTTTTTTGTCTGTACATGTCTTTTCATCCCATCGAAATTCCTTCAGGTCAAGACTATCTTATACATTTGGAATTCCCCTTGGTGTACAAACCCATCTGCTGCAGTAGACACACTACACAATTGTTGATGGCTTGCTCATAAGGGCAAGTCCTTGCTGCCCTTCCCTCAAAGATGCTTCATTCCTTCCCAAATCGAGGAAAAAAAAAAATCCCCCCAAACAGGGGCCAAACTGACTTGATCTGGAGGAGGAGAATAATTTATTTAGTTTGGTTTGACTCTGGTTCACAATTTTGTCTTTTTTTTCCCTGTTGGGGGTCATTAGAAACCCCTTCAATCCCACCACATCTCCCCCACCACAAATCAGGGCAACTCAGAGATAGCTTTCTTGGCTGGAACACCTGTTGGTTTCTCCTGTTCTCTTGCTTTCTCCTCATACATCAGGATCCTGGTTGAGATGGGAAAAGACACAGGGATCAGAGGACAGTCCTTTCAAGAGAATAAATCGTAAGCTGCTGCAAAAGTCTAGAAGAGGATGGGGCTTGCGAGGGTGAGAAGAAGAGAAGGAAGGGCAGGAGTGGGAGTGCTAGGGTCTGTGGGGACTGGAACCATGGATGGGGTAGGACCTTGGAAGGGTCGCTCAAAGGATGGAAGAAATGGGTGCTGAGTAATGTGTAGAAGATAAGCCTGGGGATGGGGGTGGGGGTGGGGAGAAAACAAATAAGTATAGGGGAGGTTGGAATTGGACCCTCACATTTTTAGGATGGCAGATCTCTTGCCCAACATCATCCTGAGAAAGTCAGTGTAGCTGAAAGTCTCCCCAGAGCCACTGGACACCTCCTTGATTAGTTTCTTTAGCTCCAGGTGGGTCTTGGGGACTCCAAGTTTCTCCAGCATTCGCTTCAGGGACATGATATCTGGAGGCAGAGGATGGGGGTGAGAAGCAGGGGGACTCTCTTTCACTTTTTCCCCCTCCACTCCCCACATTCCCGTTCCCCTTCCTCCTACTCTAGTAGCTAGGCCCTCTCCCAAACCATGGGGAATGGAGCCCTCCCTCTTCCTAGGTCAGCACACTCCCTCAAATCACCCTTTTCTCACCAATATCTCCGTTTCCATTCAGGTCAAACTCCATGTATTTCTCTGAGTGAGGGAGAAAGCAAAGACCATAAACCCTGGCTGGAGGGTCACAGGCAGGGGCCGGTGGGCAGGGGGTTGAGATAGGGGTGCTGACCCGGCCGCTAGGTGCGGGAGAAGATGTGGCAGCAGGAGGTGTGGCAGGCAGAGTAAGTGGGGATTGGGAAGTTGAGCGGCCCTGGTAAGGTGTCGGGAACTAGAAGGGGTGCTGAGAGGGACAGGCCAGGGAAAGGGACCGCAACCAAGGGGCAATAGAGGCAACCTCCCTTCTTCCACCCACAAAAGTAAACTTGGTGCCTCTGCTGTCTCCTCTCCGTTCTTGGGGAAATCCTACCCTCCTCACCCCCCTCCACCCCTGCAGTTTTCCCCTCACTCTTGAAGGCTTCCAGTTTGGAGGGCAGATCCTCATCACTGCTATACTTGGGATCATCCAGGAATTGCTGTGGGGGGAAAGCAAGAGCCAGGGTAGTCCGCCTCCGGCCAGGGGGCCAGGGTCCCCTTCCCCCAGGCCCTGCCCCCTCAGTTCTTCTTTTTACCTTGTTGATTTCATCCAGTCTCTCTTCCTGCTGGGCCTTCAGCAGCCCGAAGGCTTTTCCTCCTGAGGGTGCACAAAGGTTAGTGTATCCTCAGCCCCCTTCCTCTCTTCACCCTGACTCCCAGCCCTGGGCCATCACAATTCTGCCTTCCTAGGCCAGCTAATTGCCCTCCTAGGCCCCAGCCCAGGTCTGTTCATCTTCTTGCTCCCATTTTAGCCTGCTGCCTATTCCACTTTCCCTACCCTGTAAATCCCTGCTTTGGCTCATGGCTCAGCAGATGCTAATGGAGATGCTGGTGGGGATAGACCAAGCTGGAGGTCTCTCTGTCTGTCACCAGCTCTCCTCTCCCGCCAGCCTCCTCAGAGGCCTCCCTCCCAAACTTCCCCTTTCCCCTCATTCCCTCCTCCCCTACGTCCTAGGCTTCACTTCCCCTCAGCTTCTGCTGACACTAGCACCCCAGGAAGAAGGGGGAGCTGGGTGTAGAAGGGAGATGAGAAAACATTCTCCCACCTTCCTCTTAAGGACAGCCTAGTGTGTGCATGAAAGAAATATTTTGATAAGCCACTAGAGGCATGGAAGGAGGGCAGTAAGACCCCAGGGGCATTTATTCTCAGGAACAAATAGTCTTTGAACAGGTCCAGAGGTTCAGGTAACTCTGAGGCCCTGCATTTTGCTGGGTTTCATGAGTCTGGGCACACAGGTTTGGATAGGGAGCTGAGGAAGGGCTGACTGAATGTTTCTGCGCTGTAGACAGGAGAAGAATCTGAAGTCTGCTGGCAGAGCTGAGAGGGTGGCAAAATGGGTGCAGGATCTCGTAAGGGAGAGAAACTTCACTCCCAGCCCAGCAGCTCCAGAGAGGCACTTGGAAATATGGCAATGTCTAACGGAGGAGTTTTAATTTGTTTGCTTTCGGATGTGCAATGTAACCCCCCTCGTTTTATCTCCTTTGAAATCTTCAGTAAAATCTACAGAGCTCAGAAATTCGAGAATTTTAGTAGATTCTTTGGAGGAACTGAAAGTGGTGCTGAGAGAGACAGCATTTGTGGACACAAGAGCTAGCGGGTAAGGCCAACGTTAGGGGTGTGTGTGTGTGTGTGTGTGTGTGTGTGTGTGTGGTGGGAGTTCTGGTCACCAGGTTCAACAGAGTTAGTGGGCAGCCTCTGATAAATGTCCTCCCTAGGCATACCCTTTATCCCCTTTGCTGCTGTTTGCCTAGTTGCTTCTAGAGGAGGGGAGGACAGCATGTCCCCCTTGCTGAGATACTTTTGTCTAAACTCCTCTCCCAGAGCTCTATCCACCCTGCCCCAGCAAGAATGGAGACACCTTTCCCTCTCCTCTCCCCCCAACCTATTTCCCCTTCTGCAGCTGGGAGTTTTCACTTCTCACTGCCCCCTCCCTGACCCATGCAGGTGGGGGAGATGCTGGAGGGGACTCTGAATTCTTGACTTCCCTTTATTGAAGCTGCTTCTCCCCCTGCAGAGACAGCTGCAAGGCTGCACTCCCAGTGGTCTCAGTGCCTGGTGGGGGGAATTCATTTCTTTCATATTCATTCAACAAATATTTATTGAGGGGCTGGCCCTGTGGTGCAGCCATTAAGTGTGCACATTCTGCTTCAGCGGCCTGGGCTTCGCCAGTTCAGATCTTGGGTGCGGACATGGCACCGCTTGGCAAGCCATGCTGTGGCATGCGTCCTACCTATAAAGTAGAGGAAGATGGGTATGGATGTTAGCTCAGGGCCAGTCTTCCTCAGCAAAAAGAGGAGGATTGGCAGCAGTTAGCTCAGGGCTAATCTTCGTCAAAAAAAAAATTTTTATTGAGTACTTACTATATGCCAGGCGTGCTGCTATGCCCAGTGAACCAAACAAATGTTAACTCTTGTCCTCATGGACAATCTAATTGGGGAAGACAGACAATAAAGATAAACAAATATATGAAAGGCTTTTAGGTGCTTATGGAGAAAAACAAAAGCGGGGAGGGGGATAGGAAGTGCTGTGGTAGACTGCAGTTTTAAATAAGGTCAGGGAGGCTGCTCTGAGAAAGTGATGTTTGAGTAAAGATTTCAAGGAGGTGAGGGAACAAGCCATGTGGATATATGGGAGAAGAGGGAACTGCAAGTGCAAATGTCCTGATGTGACAACATATCTGGATATCTGGAGTATTCATGAAGTAGCAGGGAGGCTAGTATAGCTGGAGCCAGGTGTGTGAGGGGAAACAGGCAGGAGATGAGGCCAGATTGTGCAGGGCCTTGTAGGCCATCGGGAAGACCTGGGTTTGACTCAGAGTGACATTGTCTCCTAGAGTGGTCTTTCCATTAAGGAAGGCTTGGCAGACTACCATGGTGAGATAGAGCTTAGATGCCCAGGAAAACTTCCTGGGATAGAAAAAGTGAAAGCTGCTCTGACCATGGGACAAAAGGGAAGAGCAAAGAGTATCTAGAAGGGCAAGTGGGTGGAGAATGAAATAGCCTAAACACAGATGGGGGGAAAGCCTGCAAAGAACAAACATGCAAGAAGACACCTCTCACCCAAACTCAGGGGCCTGGCCCCTGCACCACAGGGCAGGCTAGCTCGCAGTAGTTAGGACTGGAGGGGAGGTGGGGCCTCTGGGCAAGAGGGGGCAATAGTGGCGAGGGTGCATTAGGGAGTGTATCAAGGAATCCACTGAGAACTTGGAAATAAGAGAAGTGGATAACTCTCTGACAGGCTGCAAAATCTCCATCTGAGCAGAGATGTGCAGAATCTCCTTAAAGCAGAGGTTCTCAACGAGTGGACCTTCCACCAGCATCACATGGAAACGTGTTAGAAATGAACATTTTTAGGCCCCGGCCCAGACCTATCTAATCAGAAACTCTGGGGGTGAGGCCTAACAAGAGCTTTTTAGCAAGTGCCTTAGATGATTCTGATATACACCCAAGTTTAAGAGCCACTGCCTAAAGCAATAGAGTGGCTCCCAAGCCTGTGAAGCTTGCTGAACCCTGGCTGAAGGGATCAACAGAGCTTAAGCACAGGTCAGTGGGTGGTGGGGCTGGTCAGCTTTGGAGGCAGAAAAAAGGAGGAGTCACCAAGGCGAGTGTTGGGTTTTTTTTGGTGAGGAAGATTGTCCCTGAGGTAACATTCGTTGCCAATCTTCCTCTTTTTGCTCACTCAAGGAAGATTGGCCCTGAGCTAACATCTGTGCCAATCTTCCTCTATTTTGTATGTGGGATGCCTCCACAGCATGGCCCCACGAGTGGTGTGTAGGTCCGTGCCAGGGATCCAAACCAATGAACCCCAGGCCACTGAAGTGGAGTGGGCAAACTTAACCACTATGCCACCGGACCGGCCCCAAGGCCAGTGTTGTTAGTGTCCAGCCAAGTGGTCAGGGAGAGAATGCTAAGCTGGCTCAAGAAATGACCTGCTAGAACCCTGTGAGATTAGAGTCCCTTATGGAACTGGCACGGTGGTGCTAAGGGCCCTTGTTATGATTCCAAGTTCTCCAGGGGAACTGCCAGTCAGAATTAGGCCCCATGGAGAGTGCCCACAGGAGAAGAACACGCTGGCCAGAAAGCTTGTCTGTGTGTGTGCCCTAGATGTCTTCCATTTGCCCCTCCATTTTCCCTCTCCCACTCTGCTCTCTGCCCCAGGAGACTAATCTGAATAGGGCACCTCTGGCTTCTGGCTGGTTTTGGCTGATGGAGAACCTGGCAGGAAAACAGCAGAAGGGAGGACATTAAGTTCAGGGCATTCCTTCCTCTGGCTACCTTCCCACAAGGTCACCTCGAGCGGGCTGAAACTTCCACCTGTGGGCAATGCTTCTCTCCTGGTGACCTGCTCTACATGACTCTACATTCTTTTAAGGTTTCAGTAGCCCAGGGGAAAGATTTCAGGTGGTCGGTGAACTAGGAAAGGAAAAAATGTACCTCCCTTTCTCACATCCAACATGATATGTGTTGCCTTGTCAAAGATCACAGTTTAAAGTTCTTATTCAGGTTAAGCAACAACGTCGTTTGCGCTGATGTCTTTATTAACATCTAATTTCAACTTGCCTGTATTTTAAATGTCTTGTCTTGTATTTGATGTGGTGATAAAGAAGTGCATGATTTATTCTATCACAACATTGTATTAATATTTTGCTACCTGGAACTCAGTATAATTGGTTTACTTCGTTATATATTTTTTATTTTAATGCTTTACTAGAATGCCAAAGAGATCTATGGCACAAAATGAGTAAGGACCCCTGCTGTAACCTCTCCCTCCTCTCATCCCTTTGGACCTGAAATGGCAATATCCCTGTGGTTCCCCTATACCCACTCACACTGATATCCACCCTGGTATCAGTTTCCCCACATTAAACCCAGCATATATGGGGTTAAAACCAAAACACTCATTCCTTGCTTACTCTCTGGCTTCCTGCCTCTAGAATCCGCTGTCCTCCATGGAGACAGACACCGTCAAGGACAAGCACCTGGACCATCTCCTCCCCATAAAGAGATACGGACTGGTGGGAAAGCTGCTGACCAGCCAGGTCACGGGCTCCCTCCTCTCTGCAAGTAGTCTCAAGGCCAAAGACAGGCTGGTGGGAAAGCTCCCACCAGCAAGGCCATATGCTCCCCCTCCCCTACCTAAACCCCCAAATAAAAACCCTTCCTTTTAGCTTTTCAGGGAGTTTGGGATTTGAGCATTAGCTGCCCTCTCTCCTTGCTCAGCGCTGTGCAAAAATAAAATTCCTACTTTCTTCCACCACACCCGGTGTCAGAGATTGGCTTGCTGTGCAACGGGTGAGTGAACTCACTTCAGGTTCGGTAACAACACCTTGCTGAATAAACTGTCTCCCCAAATTAACCTAATTTGAGGGTGCTGTTTTCTCTTGGGACTCTGATGCCGTGTGCATATATCTGTGTTTAGGGAAATGGTTGGGGGGTGGGGACGACTGGGAAGAAATGGACCTCTGCGGCTCTATTTCTTATTGCAAATGAACAAAAGGGCATCCTAGGGTATGCACCAGACTCGGGGACGTGGTTAACAAGAGCTCTCGCTGAGGCAAGCGGGAGAACGAGGCAGGATTCTGATCCTACAAGGTGCAGCTCTGTAGAACCATAACCAACTCACCAATGTCGCTGTTGCCAAAAGCCTTTTCTTTTCTAAAAAGCCTCCTTGTAGGGCTCTGAGGAGACCGTGGCTGCAGTTTATTTCTAAATTTCCCCTCTTGTCTCCTGGAAACCATGAGGAGCAATAAAGAGATTGGAAACACACACACAGAGGCTATGTTTTCAGTGAAGCTAGGAGACAAAGGACACCTGAAAACTCCAAATTAGGTGCACGTGTGACCAAATTCCAAGCTGAGCAGGCAGCCCCCAGCAGTGCCTCAGGGAAGAGCGGGGAGGGCGGGAGGGTCCCAGTGACAGCTCAAAAAAACCGCAAATATCCCTTCCTGGGAGGAAGGGCCTCATCAGGAGAGGGAAGAGCTGAAGGCAGAGCTGAGTGAACACTTTCAAATACTGGGAAATGTGGAGAGAGAATGTTTTCAAGTGCCCAAAGGCACCCAGAGGTGACAAGCCTCAGAAAGTGCCAGCAAAATTCTCCCTCTAATATTAAGTGCCTCACCTTAGATACACCTGGGAGATGGCAGCCTGTGAGGCCTCCTGAGAAATAAATAAAGCCTAAGGTTGGGGCAAATGCTTGCTTAAAAGAGAGGGTCTCAGAGGCAGAGGAAGTAGTGGCTACAGGGAGGTGCCAAATTTAAGGAAATAATCCATTGTTACGGCAAAAGAGGAGGAGCCCTTGAATTTGTAAATCTGGAAAGCCATCCTGGGCTCTCTCCCCACTATTCACAAGGTCCTCCTGCTGATGGTTCAGAAAAATCTAGCTCATTGAAATTTGAGTGACAAAAGGAAATGAGCAAAACTTCTGTTCTTGAGAAAAAAGGTAAAAAAGAACAACACAGTTGGGGCCGGCCAGTGGCATAGCCATTGGGTTCACATGCCCTGGTTTGGTGGCCCAGGATTCGCTGGTTCAGATCCTGGGGAGGGACCTACACACCGCTTATCAAGCCATGCTGTGGCATGTGTCCCACATATAAAATAGAGGAAGATGGACACGGATGTTAGCTCAGAGCTACTCTTCCTCGAAAAAAAAGAAAAAGCAACACAATTTATCAACAGATGACAATATACCAGAAATATATTGCCAAAAACGAGTGGAAATTGTAACCCAAAACTCCTTTATGAGTTGAAAAACAACAAAACTTAGCACAGCACTTTTAGTGGTGAAGGAAGGCCACACATCAGAAAGAAAAGTACTCAGAGAAGAGATGATGGGTAACAGGAGGGTATGGATGGGAACAGGGAGAAAGATATAGAAGAAAAATGCAAAGCCAGTTCAAAAATGAACACTAAATTTCACGGGAGAATAGAGACATAAAATATACATTCCTAAATTTTAGTAGATCTTTTTTTTTTAAGATTTTATTTTTTTCCTTTTTCTCCCCAAAGCCCCCTGGTACATCGTTGTATATTCTTCGTTGTGGGTCCTTCTAGTTGCGGCATGTGGGACACTGCCTCAGCGTGGTCTGATGAGCAGTGCCATGTCCGCACCCAGGATTCGAACCAACGAAACAGTGGGCCGCCTGCAGAGGAGCGCGCGAACTTAACCACTCGGCCACGGGGCCAGCCCAATACATTTCTAATTTTTAAAATCGTAAATGACTTGTGAAATGTTTTCTTTTTCTATTTTTAAAATCTGAGTCGTTGTTATCATGAACAGCATTTGTGAAATTAGCTTTTATTGTATTTAATTAGATGGTCACATGGATTTTCCTCCTTAATCTCTTAATGCAGTGAATTGTGAGAATAGGAACTCGGAATTACAGGAATAGTGAATTGTTTTCCTAGGATAAAGACTGCTTGGTTTAGTTGTTTTATATTATTTAGTCAATTATGATTTAGGTTTGCCAATATTTTTATTGTTTTTTTCCCTTACATCTATGTTTATGAGTGAAATTGTTTTTAAGTTTCCTTTCTCAAATTGTCCTTGCCTGGTTTGTATCAAGGTTACATTAATCTTATGTAGTAAGTTGAGAAACTTTTCCTGTTTTCTGATCACTAGAATAATTTTTTTTTTCTGAGGAAGATTAGTCCTGAGCTAACATCTGCTGCCAATCCTCCTCTTTTTGCTGAGGAAAACTGGCCCTGAGCTAACATCCATGCCCATCTTCCTCTACTTTTTTTTTTTTTATATGTGGGACACCTACCACAGCATGGCTTGCGAAGCGGTGCCATGTCCCCACCCGGGATCTGAACCGGCGAACCACGGGCCGCCAAAGCGGAATGTGCGCACTTAACCGCTGTGCCACTGGGCCAGCCGGATTCTATTTCTTTAATGGTTACAGGTATATCAAGCTTTTAATTTTTTCTTGAGTCAGTTTTGGTCATATATTTTTCTGGAAAATTATTCATTTTGTCAAAATTTGCAGTCTAAATATTTACTGTATCTGACATTATATTCCCTTTCAATTACTTATTTTTGTGTGGGTATATGCCTTTTATTTCTGCTTAATCAGTTAGGTCAGAGATTTTTTAATATTAGTAGTCTCTGTAAATATATATTTGTTTTCTGCTCTATTTCGTTTTTTTTTTTTAAGATTTTATTTTTCCTTTTTCTCCCCAAAGCCTCCTGGTACATAGTTGTGTATTTTTAGTTGTGAGTCCTTCTAGTTGTGGCATCTGGGATGCTGCCTCAGCATGGCCTGATGAGCGGTGCCATGTCCGCGCCCAGGATCCAAACAGTGAACCCCGGGCTGCCAAAGCGGAGCACGTGAACTTAACCACTGTGCCACTGGGCTAGCCCCAAGGTGCCAATCTTTAAAAAAAAGATTAGTGGAGTCTGATGCGATGACCAAGTAGATTGGATGTCTGGCACATGGAAGGCACCCAGTAAAAGCATTGTTGAATGGATGGATGAGCCTCGATGTTCAGAGGGGCAAGCGTAGAATGGATATTGAGAAGACACACTATCCGTCAGAGAAGCAATGCTGCTAGTTTCATCCTGAGATGACGAGGGCCTTAATTAGCAGTGAGAATTAAGAGATGGAGAAAGATACTCAAGATATTTCAGAGGCAGAACAGACAGGACTTGGAGATTGTTTGGATGGGAAATTTGAGGGAGAAGGCAGAGTAGGATAAACCCCAGGTTTTTGCCTTAAGTGACTGGATAGATTGTGTTTCCATTCACTGAGACAGGGACTAGAGGAGGCTGAACAGGTTTGGGTGGATGCTGATGACTTTGAAATGCTTGTGAAATATTCTGGAGGAGATGTCTAGAGGGCTATTAGAAATTCTGGACTCAGGGTCTGGCCCGGTGGCGCAGTGGTTAGGTGTGCACGTTCCACTTTGACGGCCTGGGGTTCTCCGGTTCAGGTCCCGGGTGCAGACAGGGCACTGCTTGGCAAGCCATGCTGTGGTGGGCGTCCCACATGTAAAGTAGAGGAAGAGGGGCACAGATATTGGCTCAGGACCAGTTTTCCTCAGGAAAAAGAGGAGGATTGGCAGCAGATGTTAGCTCAGGGGTAGTCTTTCTCAAAAAAAAAAAAAAAAACTACAATAAAATATTAAAAGAAAAAATTCTGAACTCAGACCTCAAGAAAGAGGCCTGAGGTGAAAGTGTAGACTGAGATGGAGACGTGGACTGGGGACTTGGCAGAGAATAAGCAGTAGTTAAAACTGCGGCTATGGCAGGATTGTCTAGGTAAGTCCACGGTGGACATTCACAATTTGTTGAATGAAAGTGAGAGAAATAGCTCAAAAGTCCTCCAGCAGGAGAATGATGTCAAAGCACATGTGCAGGGTACAGAAGTCTGGAGGGACTCAGGTCTGATTGCTTTTATATCCCTGTGAAAAAGGAGGCAAGAGGGGCCAGTCCCATGGCCGAGTGGTTAAGTTCTCGCGCTCTGCTTGGGCGGCCCAGGGTTTCACTGGTTCGAATCCTGGGCGTGGACATGGCACCACTCGTCAGGCCATGTTGAGGCAGCATCCCGCATGCCATGGCTGGAAGGACCTGCAACTAAAAAGATCCACAACTATGTACCAGGGGGCTTTGGGGAGAAAAAGGAAAAATAAAATCTATAAAAAAAAAAAAAGGAGGCAAGATCCCAGAGTGGGACAGCTTCCACAGTGACAAGATCCAAAGTCCAGGGCATGTAGAGTCAAGGTGATGGTTGGAGTGGGCAAGGTGAAGCAACTGTGAAATTAGTGTGTTGAAAAGTCATGTGCAAGACTTGTGCAAGAATGGTCATAGGAGATTTATTCATAAGAGCCAAAAAAATAGAAACAACCCAATTGTACATCATCAGGTGAATAAACTGTGGTACACTCATATAATGGGGTAAATGGATATTTATATATTTATACATGCATTTATTCCATTAATATACCCACTCAGCAATAAAAAGGAACAAGTTACTGATACATGCAACAACATAGATGA